CTGCCAGCAGGTGTCACTAGTACCTCTGGTATTAGCAGGAGACACTACATAAAAGAAGGGTATAGTTGATCCTTCGGCCCCCACAGCCCAAATAGACTTGGCAAAAATGATTTAAGAAAAGAAAGATGTGTGGGTGTCAGGGATCCTGTCGCCGTGCAGCGGTGCAACGGCGACGGATTCCCTCGAGTCGCGGCGGTGCGAGTGCGCAGGTGCGGGAGCATGCGCAGTGGCTTGGAAAACTCGCGCATGCGCAGTAAGTGCACACGTCACGTCAGGTGGGCTATTTAAACCTGCTTAGTAGTAAAATCACTGCCTTCTGGTCTACTACGTTCCTGCATATATTCCTGATCCTGATCCCTGTATTCTGCATTACCCGACTAAAAAAGAACTCTGCCTGCACTGACCCCGGCTATCCCTGACCATTCTCTTGCTTGCTCCTTTTGTACTTATCTTCCCGCTTGATACTGACCCGGCTTGCCTGACTCTGCTATATTATCCTGCCTACGCCTGCACCTGACCTGCAGCTTGTCGGTTACCATACTCACCCTACCGCTGCACCCACGGCTCTGCATCTGGCCTACATCCGGATCACCGTCATACCTATCAGCCACCGCATCCATGCACCCGCATCCTGACTGCCGCCACACCTACGTTCCTGCACTCGCACCTGGCTTGTGTCCCCAGCTACCTGCCAACAGTCTTCAGGATCCACACGGCACTCCTGCCACTCCTGGCTCTGCACCCCTGTTCCCACTTCCAGGGGCTCTGAGCGGGAGTTGTAAGAGGAAGCCCTCTCTCCACATCAGGCTCCCCAACCAGGTACGTGACAGTGGGACGTTAATGGTGCAAATATTCCCTCAGGATAAACAGACACAAATAGACTCGGGTAAAAATGAGTAAAGCTGTATTACACATTATCTAAAAAACGTGAAAGCACAAAGACACCATCTACCATAGAGACAGTTTGGAAAAAACAACCCTTAAATATAAACTACTCCAAACCACCTTCCTTTAATATACAAAATGATGGAATCATGGATATGCTTGGTAAGCTGATTAATAACTTTGGTGAACTCAACGCGTTTCACCAAATATGCTTCTTCAGGGGTTCACATATGGGGAAGAGGAAAGCACTGCAAATATATAAAAAGCCATAAAACACACTTATAACAGTCTATGGCAATGGAAAATCATGTACAGCTTTTATAGTGATAAATACAGTCAGGTCCATAAATATTGGGACATGGACACAATTCTAACATTTTTGGCTCTATACACCACAATGGATTTGAATTAAAATGAACAAGATGTGATTTAACTGCAGACTGTCAGCTTTAATTTGAGGGTATTTACATCCAAATCAGGTGAACGGTGTAGGAATTACAACAGTTTGCATATGTGCCTCCCACTTGTTAAGGGACCAAAAGTAATGGGACAGAATAATAATCATAAATCAAACTTTCACTTTTTAATACTCGGTTGCAAATCCTTTGCAGTCAATGACAGCCTGAAGTGTGGAACGCATAGACATCACCAGACGCTGGGTGTCATCCCTGGTGATGCTCTGCCAGGCTTTACTGCAACTGTCTTCAGTTCCTGCTTGTTCTTGGGGCATTTTCCCTTCAGTTTTGTCTTCAGCAAGTGAAATGCTCAATCGGATTCAGGTCAGGTGATTGGCCATTGCAGAACATTCCACTTCTTTGGTTGCTTTTGCAGTCTGCTTTGGGTCATTGTCCATCTGCACTGTGAAGCGTCCAATGAGTTGTGAAGCATTTGGCTGAATATGAGCCGATAATATCCCCGAAACACTTCACAATTCATCCGGCTGCTTCTGTCAGCAGTCACATCATCAATAAATACAAGAGAAGCAGTTCCATTGGCAGCCATACATGCCCACGCCATGACACTACCACCACCATGCTTCACAGATGAGGTGGTATGCTTAGGATCATGAGCAGTTCCTTCTCCATACTCTTCTCTTCCCATCACTCTGGTACAAGTTGATGTCGGTCTCATCTGTCCATAGGATGTTGTTCCAGAACTGTGAAGGCTTTTTTACATGTCGTTTGGCAAACTCTAATCTGGCCTTCCTGTGTTTGAGGCTCACCAATGGTTTACATCTTGTGGTGAACCCTCTGTATTCACTCTGGTGAAGTCTTCTCTTGATTGGTGACTTTGACACACATACACCTACCTCCTGGAGAGTGTTCTTGATCTGGCCAACTGTTGTGAAGGGTGTTTTCTTCACCAGGGAAAGAATTCTTCGGTCATTCACCACAGTTGTTTTCTGTGGTCTTCCGGGTCTTTTGGTGTTGCTGAGCTCACCGGTGCGTTCCTTCTTTTTAAGAATGTTCCAAACAGTTGTTTTGGCCGCCTAATGTTTTTGCTATCTCTCTGATGGGTTTGTTTTGTTTTTTCAGCCTAATGATGGCTTCACTGATAGTGACAGCTCTTTGGATTTCATCTTGAGAGTTGACAGCAACAGATTCCAAATGCAAATAGCACACTTGAAATGAACTCTGGACCTTTTATCTGCTCATTGTAATTGGGATAATGAGGGAATAACACACACCTGGCCATGAAACAGCTGAGAAGCCAATTGTCCCATTACTTTTGGTCCCTTAACAAGTGGGAGGCACATATGCAAACTGTTGTAATTCCTACACCGTTCACCTGATTTGGCTGTAAATACCCTCAAATTAAAGCTGACAGTCTGCAGTTAAAGCATATCTTGTTTGTTTCATTTCAAATCCATTGTGGTGGTGTATAGAGCCAAAAATGTTAGAATTGTGTCCATGTCCCAATATTTATGGACCTGACTGTACATTTAAAGTGGCAGCTTTAGCTCGGACCCCCTTGCCCAAGGATTCCCTCCAGATAGCTGAATGAGAAGAGGATTTATCTGGGTCTTGCTGTAGAGAGATTTGTAAATGGTTGCTAACAAGTTGTCCTCAGTTGCAGTTTCCTTGGGCATTCCATACAGCCCTTACCTCATCCAAGTTCAATACCCCTAGTAAAACCCAAAAAAAAACCCAGATCAAGGACTAACTACTGTCTCTGGAATGCAAGTCTGAGAAAATGCGTGTTGCCTGGCTGTGCAAGACTATAGGGGATCCAAATTTACAGCAACTTCTAATGGGGAGGTGCTACATAATGTCACACAATCTTGGAATCACCTGTATTTCTAAATAAACAATTTAAAAAGAAAAAAAAAGAAACCACTGACAGACCATCAGCGTATAGAAGATCACAGCAGCCCAGTAGGAGGCACACAAACCCTTCTGGTGTATGCAGAGTTGTGTGACCACCATTCCGGTCCTGTGGTGCCCTGAAATGTCTATTGGATGAGGCTGTACTCATAGTAGGGTCAGGGAAGGGTGTGAAGGTTGGTCTCAGCATTTTGTGGATCCAGCAGGTGTTCAGTGTGTGTAGAGTACCTAAGTATGTATCTGATTATATACAGTATATATATTTCTATTAACAGGAATATCACTACATGAGATCATGGAAGATTGAAGAGAACCATGAAAATTTAGAACTTAACATTTCTGGAGAAAAAACACCTACCAAATTACCCACAAAACAATCATCATTGAAGCCGAACTTGCAGAAGAAACCAACCTTGAGTATAGCAAATGCTGGAGTATCACCCTCAAATATTATTAAAGTAATTGACACTACTGACAGACCAGCTGATGCGTATGCTGAAGACAAGTACGCTCGAGCTGGAACGTACGCCATGGGATTAAAAGACAAACCCATGGAGAGGATCCCAAAGGCCGGAGCTTTTGCCGAGGCCGGGTTTGGCAGAGCGGGGGCAGAGTTCGGTGTTTTTGAGGCTGAGGCTAAAGGTCCAAACGCCTTCGCTGGAGCTGAAGCCAGTGTAGTGGGGCTAGGCGCCATTGCCAGAGCAGAAGTTGGAAGTGTCTCTGTTGGTGCCGGCCCATTTATGGCTAAGCTTGGCCTTGGTGTGGACACTGGGGTGTCAATTGGAGTTGATGGCATTGAGATAAAAGTCCTGGGCACCGGAATCCGCCTAGGGCCAACAACCAGCTTTTCTATACTCGGCAGTGAGTTGGCATGTGTGATCCAATAAGGTCTTCTCTCACATGTCCTAACTGTGTGTATCAAGCAGAACACAACAATCATAATGTCAGGATATCAATTATATATACCATATATTACCTGACAACCGCTGAGCACAGACCACCCACCTCCCCCCACCATGAAAATTAATTAGCTTCTGCTTCTTTAATGATATCTCCTTTCCTGGCCTGTGATAGGACAGTGAGGGAGCAGCAGCTCATCGATGACGTCATCCCTGTGCTCCTCCCTCCTGTAACCATGTCCAGTGTTAGGAGAGGTCTGATTGGCTCATAGTGCTCCCTGGAATCACTGAGGATTATAGGAATCCAGTGGGAAGATTCAGAAACAAATGAGAGTTGTGTGTAAAATGATGTTTCATGATTTGTTTGAATGTCTACAGAACAGAGATGAAATGGTAAGGAAGTATTTGTCTGGAGTTCTGCTTTAGTCTGCAGGAATCCAACAGGAGGAGATGATAAGAGAACAATATTTTACTGACCTGCCAATTGTTGTCTAATTGCTGTCTTCATGTACCGCTTACTGCTAGTTTAAAGGAAAAAAAATGCTTATTATCACATTATATCGCTGATCTGATACAAAGTTACCAATGTCATCAAATAGGACCAATAAAATGTAAAGTGAAGATCTGGGCTCAGACTTGTACTTTGTGTGATGTCAGCTCTGGACTACATCGGGGTGTTCCAACCTTTACACCTTCCGCATTGGAAGAAGAAGAATTGTCTTGGGTCACATTTGCTGAGGCACAGCAGTCTGCATTGGTCAGGAAAAAGGTTCCTGCACCACTTCTGAACTGCAGCGGCCAGGAAATCGCATGCTGCTCTTCCACCATACAATGTCCCAGCGGTTCCCACACCTGAGAACATGTTGCATTTCACCCCCTTCCAGTCCGGACACTTTCCCCCCTTCCAGTCTGGACACTTTCCCCCCCTTCCAGTCCGGACACTTTCCCCCCGTTCCAGTCCGGACACTTTCCCCCCTTCCAGTCCGGACACTTTCCCCCCCTTCCAGTCCGGACACTTTCCCCCCCTTGCAGTCCGGACACTTTCCCCCCCTTCCAGTACGGACACTTTCCCTCCCTTCCAGTACGGACACTTTCCCTCCCTTCCAGTACGGACACTTTCCCTCCCTTCCAGTACGGACACTTTCCCTCCCTTCCAGTACGGACACTTTCCCCCCCTTCCAGTACGGACACTTTCCCCCCCCTTCCAGTACGGACACTTTCCCCCCCCTTCCAGTCCGGACACTTTCCCCCCCTTCCAGTACGGACACTTTCCCCCCCCTTCCAGTCCGGACACTTTCACCCCCTTCCAGTCTGGACACTTTCCCCCCCTTCCAGTCCGGACACTTTCCCCCCCTTCCAGTCCGGACACTTTCCCCCCCTTCCAGTCCGGACACTTTCCCCCCTTCCAGTCCAGGCCAATTTCCAGCTTTCAGCGCTATCACACTTTGAATGACAATTGCGCGGTCATGCAACACTGTACCCATATGGATTTTTTAGCATTTTTTTAAGACAGATAAAGCTTTATTTTGGAGGTATTTATTCACCACTGGGATTTTTATTTTTTTGCTATGTAAATGAAAGTCCAAAAAAATTTTTTTAAAAGTGTTTTTCTTATAAAATTTTGCAAATAAATAATATTTCATCATAGATCTTGGCCAAAATTTATTCCGTTATCTTTTTAGTACAAAAAAAAACCCAAATTAGTTTATAACCAAAAATTATCATTTTTAAAAAAATTTTTACATTTTTATTTAATTTTTTTATATTATTATTTATAAGGGTTTTTTTTTTTTTTTTTTTACATACTGTCACCCTAGCACCTATTAGGATTTTTTGGGATCCTAGACCCAGTCAGTATGCCTCCAGATAATCCTGGATTTCTCCCACTCCAAACCAAAATATAGCCAGCCTCCAACCTCCAGGATCATCAGACACCACTCTCCAAGAAAAAGCTCAGAATAATGTAGGGAAAAAAACGAATATACAGCGTAACACTGCAACACTCGGTTATATTCAATCTTCAAGTACCAAGCAGGGGCGGACTGACAACTCATGGGGCCCCCGGGCAATAGGGGATCATGGGGCCCCTGTGTCCTTGTCCACACTCAAAAAAGCCTATGAAAAAGGTACCAGGGGCATCTCATGGGGCCCCCTACTGACCCCGGGCCCTTGGGCAGTGCCCGAGTTTCCAAATGGTCAGTCCACCCCTGGTACCAAGCCACTAACATTCTTAACCTCCCTAGCAGTCTGATTATGTCCATATTTCTGTGCTCAAAGTGGTACATTTTTTGCATGGAAATATGTTGTTTTTTTATTGTAGGCTGTAATTTTTGGGAATAATTCACTGAAATCTGTCCGAACAAGAGTCTAGTGAACATCCCGGGTATGTTCAAATTTGAAACACAAAATCATACATTTTAAATTTAATAAATAATCATAAAAAAATAATAATATAATAATAATAAATGTAATTCAATATTATAATCAAACCAAAAACTCTGAAATGTGAAATATAGCGCCAAGTTCGCACATCGCTGAGCTCAGTCGCAGAATCGTTTTCAGTGTCTGATGAGGAATTTCCCCCACCAATCATTATCACTCAATTCTGCAATTGGTTCTGATTTACTATCGCTGTTCTCTAGCTGATCTAAAACCGCGTTTGACCTAAAGGGACGCTTTTTGGACGCCATGAACGTTTCTCAGTTTCCAGGCAGAAAGAACAGTAAAAATGCAGGCAGGGCGCCGGACAAAGCACTCGGGACAAAATGTATGTGAAATGGTTTGATACAGGAATGTTATACTATGTGATTTTAGTGAATGTCACTTTTACAACTCCCAAATTTCCCGCCGTTCCGTCCCCCGTACGTCCCGATGTCGCAGGGAATGGAACCCGGAAGACAGATGCCGGCATCCGCCGGAGGACATTGCCGGGGACACTGCAGGGGGGACATCACGGGAGCGCAGGACAAGGTAAGTGCAGAAGAGATCCCAGAGCAACGCTGCAGTGTATTCCCGAGTGTAGCTCGGAGGGGGGGAGGGGGGTCACCGTTCGTGGTGCTGAAACTTTACACCGAACTACACTCGGGAATACCGCCAGGGGGGTTAATGATCAAAATCAGCATTTTATTTCATTTTATGAATCCAAAACGCCAGATCACCAGGGTAATTTCCTGAGATCCCAGGTCAACACCAGATGACAGCACAGAGAATCTCCCATACAGAAGATGGCCCCCGGGAATGCCGCATGCCGGCGTGCGTTCCACTCACCAGAAGTGACGTATTACGTATGGCGGCGAAACCGGAAATGCGTTGACGCGTTTCGCCACTCCTCCAGGGCGTTTTCACAGTTTACACATAATTTACTACTTGCCTTGACTTGGGTGCAAAACGTTGTGTAACGGAACAAATGATTGAATCCTGCTAAAATATAACAATAAAAAATGATTGCAATCACAAAACTGGTCAAAACCCTTAAAAACCTAATAAACTGATTAATAGCCTCATATCGTGAGACTCCCTTCTGTGTAAAGAAGATCTGAAAATGGTATCTGTAATAAAATTTGAATCTTTGCCCACAAAGGATCCTAGGATGGTAACAGTGTCCATGTTTTTATCCTTGAATCTCCAATGCACTTTTATTGTCTAGTTGAGTTGGATTCTGGTATACACTCTCATACATGACACGGCTCAAACATCGACAGGTAATTCAAAGTAGACATGTGCCCTTCATTTCCTTCCAAATCAAAATTTTTGTTATTCGGAGCCTTCGGATGTATCCAAATTTCTAAGTTACAATTTGAAAACGATATTGAATTAAAAAACATCTGAAATATAAACATATTGCTGACTATTGTTGATTTCCTCCAAAGACTATTGGGTTGATTTATTAAAGGCAAATAGTCTGTGCGCTGAAAGTGCGGTTGCTCTAGATCCGAGGGGAGCTTGCAAGGAAAATTAAAAAAAAAAAAAAAACAGCATTTTTGCTCTCAGATGATCGGATGATAAAAATCAGCAGAGTTGCCCCCCCAATTTAGAGCTGCCCCCCATTTTAGAGCTGCCCCTCAGATCTAGCACAACTCCACTTGCAGTACACAGACTATTTGCCTTTACTAAATCAACCTTCCTTTGTATTAGTTTTAGGATACAGCCGTCTCCTGAAATTTAACTCTTTCCCTCCTGAGGGTAAAACAAATCTAAATGCCTAAGCACAATTCTGCAACATTGACATGTGATAGTAAAACCGTCCGTATCATCACAACTACTTCGTACATCCAGGTGGATTATACCGCGATTTTTTCAGGACAAATTGGTCTTTCATTTGGTGGTAAATGGTAATGGATAGCTCCTGATTTTTTATTATCAAAGGAAAACTGGCCCAAAATAGTAAAAAAATTTTTTTTTTTTATTTAGCTGTGTGTTTCTTGTTACTACCATAACCTTCCACCAAAGAACAACCCAAAATAAATTCTCCAGCTCTTGACGATCGCAGCGATACCATATATGTGGATGTTATTTGTTGTTTGTACCTGTAGTACAGCCCAGAAACAATAGTGCGCATTTTGTTTTTGGCTTTTTTTTTTTTTTTACCTAAAAACACACTGACACTGAAAATAACACTGACACCAATATTTTTAAATCCTGACCTTTGACCTTGACCCAAACACTAACCTGGCACTGAACTAGATCAAACCTTGATCTAGGTATTTTCTTTATTTTTTCTTTTATTTTTTCTTTTCTTTTTTTAATATTTATTTATTTTTATTTTTTCCTTTTTTTTTTTACAAAATGTTTTTCTCTCTCTATCCCAGGAGTTAGAGAGATACAACGTATCTCTCCTCTCCATTCATACAGAGAGAGAAAAGCAAGGGGGCCGGGCTGTACAGTGACTGATCACTGTGATAGCCAATCAGAGGCTATCACAGCGATCATGTGACCCAGAATTGGGAGTCCCGGGTCCCGATCAATAGAACGGGATTCGGGGCTCTCAGTGACACCGCGGTCCATTTCCACCAAGCCCATTTCCGTGAGGCCGCATATTTGTGTGACGTCAGTGTCAAGGGGTTAAATTGTCGGTCAAAACATTAATTTACTTCCACACAGTGTTCAAACAATGAGAGCTGTTTCCCCATCTCACAGCCGCACCCCAATCGATGAATACCTTTGCGCAGGGTATGCGTGAACGGGTCCCCCCAACTCCAGTGAGGGTTAGGAACTTTCCTGGGATGAGGTTCCTTCGCTCAATCACCTCTGGTCGGATCAAGGTGACTTCTTCCCCGGTGTCACAGAAACCAGTTACAGACCGGTTGCCCACAGTGACTGGCTGCAAGTTGGCGGGGGTTATCCGCATCTTCCTGCGGACAAACAGCACTGAAGAAAAGTTGCTGGCCGGCTGGCCAGGTGATGTCACCTGCTTCTGCTTAGGACACTGCGTCCTGAGATGTCCGGATTTCCCACAGGTGTAACATCTGCGGTTGTCAGGCAGGGGCGGCTTGGCCCCAAGTACTGCAGGTATTGGGTGAGGGGAAGCTTGACTCACCGGTGTAGGAGGGGTTGCTATGGGTGATTTCACTCCTTTCCAGCCATTTGGAGGAGCCTTGCGAGGGTCAGACACCCGCGTGTGGACGAAGGTATCGGCCAGATCGGCTACAGCTTTAGCAGATGCCGGCTCCTAGCAATCAGCTTTCAGTCCTTTAGTCCTTTACCGGAATGTGGTGCGTAAGCGACTCGCCACATCCGTGTAGGAGTCTCCAGGTCCCTTTTGCAAGGACCTGAACCGCTTGTGGTACACTTCCGGGGTCATCTGGTACTTCTGGACAATGGCTTCTTTTGGAGCTTCATAATCGTCGTCCTGCCCCTCTGGCAATTCGACAAACGCATCCAGGGCCTTTCCTCGTAGCCCTGGTGTCCGGTACCGAGCCCATTGTGCTTGGGGCAGATGGTACTGACGGCAAGTTTTTTCAAATGACAGTAAATACATGTCAATGTCACTATCTTTTTCCATCACTGTAAACTTGGCTGCTGTGCCCACGGCCAGAGAGGCGTCCCTGTGCTCTAGGGACCCGAGGTTCTGAACCTGTCGCTGCTGGAGCCTCACCATCTCCAGTTCGTGCCGACGATCAGCTTATCTCTCAGCCTGGCGTTCCTCTCTGGCAGCCGCTGCTTGCCGTTCCGCAGCCGCTCTCTCAGCCTGGCATTCAAGGAACTGCAAGCATGCCCCAGGATCTGTCTGCATGATGTGTTTCAGGGCTTCCTGCATCTGAGGAGAGTCTCTGCTGGTTACAGGCACTCCGGTGCTGGCCTGCTCAGTCGGTGGTGTGAAGATGACATTCGGTGATCCTCCATTGTCAGTCTCTGTATGCCCATCCTGCGAGGCCGTCTCTGAGCCACGGGGATCGGAGGTAGCGGGAACACCTTCATGGTGAAGTTCCCCCGAGTTCTGGTCTGCACGGCTATCATGCTCCAGTAGGTCAAGAATCAAATCTTCACGGGATTTACAACCGACGTCAATTCCTTGTGAGGCACATTCCGCACTCAAATCACTTTTGCTCATTTTCCTGTATTCTGCGTCACCAGGCATAATTGCACGCAAAGATAGAATAGAAAGCCGAAAAAGGAAGAATCTGTTGCTATGTGTCTCTCTCTCTCTATATACATATAAAAAATATGCACCGCTTGTCTTTAGGGACAATCCTTCAGTGCAGAGCTAATTCCTAACAATGCACTGAAGCTCTAACGCAAACTATCCCACATACGCTGCCAGCCAACGTGACGATCGCGGCGTCAGACCCCAGCCCTTCTCACCAAACCCGTGACCAAAGGACTAGCCAATCTAAAACTGCAATGTCACTTGTGTAACAATGCCACGCCCAGCTGCACCCTGCACAAAGATTTTCCAGCTAATGGACCACAATCTGTTTACCTGCAGCCTGGGAGCGATTGTTACCGGGTCAGGTTAATTACGCAATTAACCCTTCACACTGCCATCACCTCCTTTTTGTACAGAGAAAGAGGAAACTCGGCAATATTAGCAATAACACTATGATGTTTTTAATAATCGTTTGTATACACAATGTCATCGCAGACAGATGTATGCAGATGTTTAACCACTTGCCTACCAGACACTTATACCCCCTTATTTACCAGGCCAATTTTCAGCTTTCAGCGCTGCCGCACTTTGATTGACAATTGCGCGGTCATGCAACATTGTACCCATATGAAATTTTGATAATTTTTTTCTCACAAATAGAGCTTTCTTTTGGTGGTATTTAATCGCCACTGGGCGCTTTACTTTTTGCGCTATAAAATAAAAAAAGTGAAAAAAAATTTGAAAAAAAAAAAAAAAGTTTCTTTGTTTCTATTATAAAATTTTTCAAACAGGTATTTTTTCTCCTTCACTGATGTGCGTTGATGAGGCAGCACTGATGGGCACTGATAGGTGGCACTGATGGGCACTGATAGGCAGCACTAAAGGGCACTGATAGACAGTAGTAATGAGGTGGCACGGATAGGCGGCACTGATAGGCAGCACTAATGAGGTGGCACGGATAGGCGGCACTGATAGGCAGCACTAATGAGGTGGCACGGATAGGCGGCACTGATAGCACTAATGAGGTGTCACGGATAGGCGGCACTAATATGCAGCACTGATAGGCGGCACTGATAGGTGACACTGATGATGGGTACTGATAGACGGCACTGACTGGCATCACTGCTGGGCACTGACTGGCGGCACTGACTGGCACAACCCCTGGGCACTGACTGGTGGCACTGACTGGCAGCACTGCTGGGCTGCACTGGTGGGTGGCACTGGTGGGTGGGCACAGGTGGGTGGCACTGGTGGGCACAGGTGGGTGGGCACAGGTGGGTGGCACTGCTGGGCACAGGTAGGTGGCACTTCTGGGCACAGGTGTGTGACACTGCAGAGTGGCACAGGTGGGTGATCTGCTGGGCACAGGTGGGCAGAGCTAGTGGGCGCACTGCTGGGCACAGGTGGGCGGAACTTGCGGGTGGCACTGCTGGGCACCGATCATCAGGGCACTGATCATCAGTGCCCTGATGATCGGTGCCGATCCCCGCTCTGACAACTGCCGGTTCTCGGCAGTACTTTCCTCACGATCTGACAGCGTGAGGAAAGTGCAGCCGAGAACCAGCACTTGCATTTCCCTCTGATCAGCGTGTCATTGGACACCGCTGATCACGTGGTAAAAGGCCGCTGTGATTGGCCTTTTACCACATCACGTGATCAGCTGTGTCCGTAGGACACAGCGATCACGGAGATCGCCGGGTGCGCGCCCCAGGAGAGCACGTTCTGGGAGGACGTCATATGAAGTCCACTCAGAACTGGCCGGCCGCAGTGCAGCCGTCATTCGGCTATCTGCGGTCGGCAACTAGTTAAAACACACAGTAGCGCTCTTCAGAGACAGAGATTCTTAGTTTGCATTTAGAAACAGTTCAACACTTTCAGAAAGTAAGATTTATTACTAAAAGGTCAAAAGGGCGCAATAAAAATATTTACAGAAAAAGATGTAGCCAATATATATATATATATAAATATACAGAGAGAAATAAACACAAAGAGATAACAGAAAGAAGTTTAGAGACAAAGTACTTGTGGGTTAAGCAGATCAAGTTTTCTGAGCAAAAGGGCCTTATCTCCCAAAGTTGGTTCCGATGTTAAAAGGGAGGATTCTTCAACTTCAACACGACCTACTCAACTTAACTAAACTCTCTGCTCCAAGCATCACAGCCTGTCTAGGAACTCAGCAGGGTGTCTCCTTGAAGCAGAGAACCAATCGCCTCATTTGGGGAGGGTGTTGCAGGCGGAGACCCATGCTAGAACAAAAATCCCTCTCAGTTTATATCATGATCCATAACTTACCCTCGGTGTATGTAGCAGCCTTGCCACTAGTACATTAATATGCAGAAGCATCTGCTGAACATCTGGATATTAAATATATAGAACGGTCTGGATCAGGGGCGGACTGACAACTCATGGGGCCCCTGGGCAATAGGGGATTATGGGGCCCCTGTGTCCTTGCCCAAACTCAAAAAAGCCTATGAAAAAGGTACCAGGGGCATCTCATGGGGCCCCCTACTGACCTCGGGCCCTCGGGCAGTGCCCGAGTTTCCAAATGGTCTGTCCGCCCCTGGTCTGGATAAAAGCGCACATGTCAACTGTGATTGGTGGGGAAAAAACTCACTGGTGCCATGGTAAAAACACATCGGTTTGTGGAAAGTATGAACAGGAGCCAGGCGCTGTGTAGTTTTGTGATAAAAGTAATACACCTTATATGGAGGTGTGCCTTTAATAATTCATAAGGTAAAAAATAGATAACCAGCCTGTGGCTTTAAGAAGCCAAGTTCCAAGATGGACGGCCCGTCCGCTCAGAGGGAAGTAGTGGAGTAGAATGCCTGTCAGTGCAGGGACCACGTGTATCCAACGTCTGAGCGTCCCGGATGACGTCACCACGTCGTGGAGAGACGGAGGGGAGGAACTCTTGCTGGAGCCGCAGCTTTAGAAGGAAGAGGCCGGTTGCGAGGACAACATGTTTCGCACGCATGCGCTTTATCAAGTCTATGACATACCTGCTTGGGACGGTTAAGGAGATATTATTTTTCTGCTCTGCTGTAGATTTCAGCTAGGGGGTGTAATATATCAGCTGACTTGTATTAAAGTGACCTATCTGAGTATATGCCTGGTTTCCTTGTAAGTCTTCCATATCTCCAGATATAAAATTATATGGAAAAGGGGATTTTTAAATGTGAGTCTGTTTTACAGCTAGCTGGAATGTCTTTGAAGCCCAGGGAAGGACTGGTTTATGGTTTTACGATATCTCAGATTGAGAAGCTAACAGACACCCGGGCACCAGCTAGTGTGGGATTTATAACCCTGGAGCTCTCCCACTGTGCCTGTGATCTCTGGCATCATACAGACCACATTCCTGAGGGAGGGGGAAATTGGAGGGAAGCTGATTAGGGAGTAGAACTGATACAAGATGGAGGATCCTTAGCAAGATGGATGACCGCGTCCATCTCTGTATGCACAATTGCTACACTTCTCTTCACAAATTCTTGTTGCTTCTCTTCACAAATTCTTGTTGCTTCTCTTCACAAATTCTTGTTGCTTCTGTTTACAAATCCTTGTTGTATCTTTTTACAAATTCTTGTTGCTTCTCTTTACAAATCCTTGTTGTATCTCTTCACAAATTCTTGTTGTATCTCTTCACAAATTCTTGTTGTATCTCTTCACAAATTCTTGTTGTATCTCTTCACAAATTCTTGTTGCTTCTCTTTACAAATTCTTGTTGCTTCTCTTTACAAATTCTTGTTGCTTCTCTTTACAAATTCTTGTTGTATCTCTTTACAAATCCTTGTTGTATCTCTTTACAAATTCTTGTTGCTTCTTTTTACAAATTCAGCTTTTGCTACCGCTCCTAAGAAGATAACTTTTGTGCAAAAGACAAGACAACCTAAAGAACATTCCTTTTTGCCCAATTCACACGGAATGAATGTACACACAGATGTACTGGATGAATGGCTATGCGATTTTCTTCTTTAGAGTCTGAAGTGTTTATATTACTTACATTCAGTTACTCTCTACATTTATAAGAGACATGCAGGTTTTTGTTTCTTGGGGGGGCACAAATGTTTAAAAAAGTAGAATTTGTGGGCGTTTTACAGGCGAGGTAAACCTGGCATAAAAATGTGAAGAAACCTTTTCTATAATTTTGTATACAATATTTTGTAAACTGTCATTTTTATTACCTAAATACACCACAGAAGACCCTCCCCCCCAAAAAAAAGAATACATCATATAAATTTCAGAATTCCTGTATCAGCTTATTTTTTAAGTTTTTGAGTATCATAGTACATTTATACTGTAAAATAAAAAAAAAAATCTATTTCTGGGTCCTATATGAACTATAACATAGTAAAACACATCCACCGTGTGCTGAGAACCCCCCCCCCCCCCCCCCCCCCCCCCCCCCATGTGAGCGTCATCCATTTCCAGTACATCAGACTATGGCCAGGTATGGTGGAGCATGTTCAGGTTTTGGAATGGAAAGGACAATAGTTTGGATGAACCATTATCTTGTTGGACTTTTGATTAAATATTGCTTCTATCATACAATCGTTTCTATATATAGTGGACCAGGTTTTATCATATTATCATTTATAAACATGTTGTACATTTTCCTAAGTGTGCCAAATAATATGGATTGCTGATCATAATGTAGAGCAAGCTGCTGAATTCCCATAAAGCAGAACTTTCCCGGAATCCAGTTCAAGAATAGAAAATGAAACCTCCACATTGTTTAGCTCTGCCTTCCTAGCAACCCACATTTGCAGGCACTTTGCCCAGGGTGGGGGGACTTTCCTTGGAATGAACAACCTCTGTCCACGGCGAACAGTTCTGAATGTTTGTTTGGAAGAGAATGACAAAGTACAGAGAAAAGAGGTTTACATAGAGGTTGGACATAGTAAATGTGTCAAGACTTCACAGACACACTGGAGTTTATTCACTAAAGCTGGTTCGCTCCGAATCGCCGTACTTCTCCATAGAAACCAATCAGCTTCCAGGTTTCATTGAACAAGCTGAAGATAGGAGCTGATTGGCTGCCATGCACAGCTGCACCAGATTCTGAGTGAACCGGCTTTACTAAATAGACCCCACATGGTTTTAAGCTTCAGTCTTGGACCTTCCTAATCAGGGGCGGACTGACCATTTGGAAACTGGGGCACTGCCCGAGGGCCTGGGGTCAGTAGGGGGCCCCATGAGATGCCCCTGGTACCTTTTTCATAGGCTTTTTTGAGTTTGGGGAAGGACACAGGGGCCCCATGATCCCCTATTGCCCGGGGGCCCCATGGGCTGTCAGTCCGCCCCTGCTCCTAATATACCATGATACAGAGTAACACATATAACAATTACAAGAGACATTACTTTCTGGTATTTTGCAGCAGAGGATCAGCCTCACTGTGACCTAGATCTAAAGTATGTTGGACAGTCCTGTGGTACCCGGGAGGGTTGGGAGGTATGCATGTATGACTTTTTGGTGGCTGCCAATACAATATAGTGAGCTCTTTCATTTCTTGCCAACCGCCCTATAGCAGCTTTACTGTTGCTCTGTGCAGAATCACGTATATATATATATATATATATATATATATGATTCTGCATTTCCAGGAAGGGGGGGGTGCTGCTGCTTCTGCTGTGATTTGTTACTGCAGAAGTCAATCAATGGGTGACGGCCAATGGATGACCACTGGTACTCACTTATTGGCTAGGAGACACACAGGACGGAGCTATGTGCTGGATGTGTTGGATTTGGTAAATCACATCCCTTAGTAAAACCATCCAGAAGTAAACACAAAACACATAGGCACACAGTTAACCCTTTGATCGCCCTAGATGTTTAACCCCTTCCCAGCCAGTGTCATTACTACAGTGAAAGTGTATATTTTTAGCATTGATCGCTGTATTAGTGTCTCTGATTCCCACAAATTGTCAGTTAGCGTCAGATTTTCTGCCGCAATATCGCAGTCCTGCTGTAAGTCGCTGATCACTGCCACTACTAGTATATAAATAAATACAAATTCCTGTATATATCCCATAGTTTGTAGACGCTATAATTTTTGCACACACCAATCAATATACACTTTTTGTGATTTTTTTTGTTTTTTACCAAAAATCTGTAGCAAAATACATATTGGCCTAAAATTTATATATTTTTATATCAGAAAGTAAAAATGATTTTTTTTTTTTTTTAAACTATCGGTCTTTTTTTTGTTTATAAAAAATATAAAAATTTAAAAATATAAAAATGTTTTTGTGCAGAAAATGTAAAAAACCCAGCCATGCTCCATGACGATACTGAGAAGCAACAAATTGACGCAGAGCTCTTGATTCATGTAGTTATTTGGGTTGCTATCATGACTGCCCACCACTTTGAATCTGCTTCTGGCTCGTCCCCTTGGGTTCTCGCAGAGTCGTACTTCCACAGCTCCCGGGTGAGACTCCCCTGGCGATCACCATTTGGAAATACTGTCATGTGCACTTTTAGCTGATTTATATTATACATGCATCTACTCCTGAAGAAGTGAACTTAGAGTCACAAAACGCGTTGAGTTTTTGGATGCAAATTTAATGCAATGTATTGACATCTGGATTGTATTCAGTCTATTGTATATCCAATTATGGATACAAATGGAGAAACAGAAAAGGGCGCACCAACCTAGTGCATTATCGTTTAAAATAATTTATTAAAGAAACAAAAATAGGTATCATACTCACAATGGACATAATAACACAGGCATGTCAAACTGAACAAGGTGTATGATCCAAACAACATCTGAGTCCATACGATGGAACCCTGGATGACCAACTGGCTAACGCGTTTCGAGGACACAACCTCTTCCTCAGTCAATTGTATATCCAATTATGTATAAAAAGCATTTTAAGAAGGATTTATTACAAATCAGCTTACCATTTTATCCTCTTTTTGTAAGCAGTGAAACGTTTATTCATTTATTCAAAATAAATGTAGGAAACTAGTCATTCGTTGGTCGTGTGTGTTGGGCCCCATTTAAAGTCCCAGGACAAATAAATTGGTTGTATGGATATATTAAAGGATGGAGGCACATCACTGGGTGCATCGGGTCACATTCTATTTTTGTTAACACATGAAATAGGGGAGATATTTTCTCTAAAAAAAAAAACATACCAGTCACATTGTGGTGCTTAATGTTGACTCAACATGTCCTTGTGATCCAACACTGTTGACATAGTAATTATTAAAACACCAACCTGCCAATAATAAGTCAGTCCTCGGTGTGTTGGCAGTGCTAGAGTCTAATTTTAGGAAGTGAAAGTAAGACTTGCGGGGGTACAAATACCTCCCTGCCCTGTGCACACATCACAGACTTCTCTCTCCATCCTCAGCTGAGCTCCCTGAAGAGTCCTCCAACACCATCACTGGTCGGTAAGTCCTCCATGTGTACTAAAATGTCTTCAAACTTCAAGCTGGCCAACTGGTTCAAAGTGATCCCTCATTGGCCAGTCCTACTCCATCTTACCAACTTTGCTAAAAAATCTACTCTTGAAAATATAAACATGTAATGCCAATATGGGGTGTAAAAATACCTGGGCAAAAATCAAGTCATTTACTGTACATCCACAGTTGTAGAAAAAAACCCACAAAAATGAAAGGGTGGACAGCACCAGCAACTAATATCCATGCAAGTAATCAGGTGCATCCCAACAAAACCACTAGAAGAGGGAACACTTTGACAACATTGGTCAGCTTGGACATGTACTGAATTACAATATCCCTTAAGAGAAAACTAATGTATTTGAGAATTTCTGATCCCCGTGGATAGAATCATTTCTTCCAACAAACTGTGATAGGTCCTTCTTGCATATGTGAATTATTTATTTGATGGTGTCAACATCCACTTGACTGACCCTTGTGCTAACTTCTTCCCCAACTTTCCTTCCTCTTTATCTTTTTAATCCTCATACCCTGCCATGTTACGAGTGTAGAAATGTCAATTTACATAACTCTTTGAGGAATTATACTCTACTTGATCATGATTTCTTAACCTCTTCCAGCTTGCCGTATGCATATATATACAGCCTCTCGGTTGGTGGGCTTTAACGCCAGGAGCCCACCTACGCTCACCGGCCACTTTATTAGCTACACCTGTTCAATTGCTTGGTAACACAAAGTGCCAATTGCCATTGTTAGAGCAATAGTGGCAAAGCAGTCAAGCCTGCAATGGAAGGAGCTAAGGGCTTGTTCACAGTTATGGCAGACCTTGCCTGTCTAAAAAAAACAAATGATCAGTGGTTGATAGGTGACTGGGAGGTGATCGCCTCCTAACTGCCTGTTTTGACCCTGAAAAGCCTTCACCACCCTGTTATGACAGCATACATTTCAAGTGGTTGCAGGGAGGTTTTGGCGCAGACCAGGGGCGGACTGACAACTCATGGGGCCATCGGGCAATAGGGGATCATGGGGCCCCTGTGTCCTTGCCCAAACTCAAAAAAGCCTATGAAAAAGGTACCAGGGGCATCTTATGGGGCCCCCTACTGACCCTGGGCCCTCGGGCAGTGCCCAAGTTTCCAAATGGTCAGTCCGCCCCTGGCGCAGACATATTTGCTTGAATGAGTCGTGTATTGCAGCTGCACTGCCCACCCAATGTGGCATCTTTTGCTGAAACTGTATGTGTACAACCAGGGGCAGACTGACAACGAATGGGGCCCCCGAGCAATAGGGGATCATGGGGCCCCTGTGTCCTTGCCCAAACTCAAAAAAGCCAATGAAAAAGGTACCAGGGGTATCTCATGGGGTCCTCTACTGACCCCGGGCAAATGGTCAGTCCGCCCCTGTGTACAACCCTGATCTGTGTGCAGGGCAGCTGTTAGAAATCATGGGGCCCCTCATATATGGTGGAGTCCAGAACTAATCCTTTTTCTGTTAGTTTCTCATTGGCTTGGTGTCTAGGGACTCCCAGAATATACATTTTTTTGTTTGAACATATATTTTTAGGTACCTTGAGGCTTCTTTTTGGAAGTTTTGCAATGCTGTCTCTGCTTTGCCTTTTAACTAATTAGAACTTTCCTTTTCCAAGGGCCACAGCTGATCCCCGAGATTTCAACACCAATATAAGGTCACCTCTACCTGGGAAGGCCCGTGTCCTACCTGTACTGCAATCTGATCATCATGTACCAACCTCAGCTGTATGCACCAAACCAATACATGCCGTGCGAAGAAGAGGATGAAGATGCGTTTGTGAAGGACATAGAACCAGTACAGGTGGGTAACCAACAGGATAGCAAATGCTGGAATCCGGCTGTCAGGTTAGAACAGTGAGCTCCACCAAGAACAAACATCCTAACTAAATGGGAAATTTATTATAAAAAAATATCAAATCTAATAAAACACAAAGACCAGTATTGTCAGGAATCTAGGAGTGACCAGAAAGGTGTGGACTGACACAGGGAAACGCAGGCCTCAGGTACAGTAAATAGTTTTTTATTAGCCACCCAGATATATGTATATATATATATATATATATATATAAACGCACAGTGAGCAAACCAACCTTCCACTAATCTTAGGAGGTGCAGGAACACAGGCGTAGTCAGGGCTGGAGAGGTGGAACGGTCAGGCCGGCCGTAGGGTTCTGTAATGACCGTTTGGTGGTACCTCTAGCGGTCCTCAGGACAGGATTCCCCAGGGCGCGGAGTCTAAGTCCCAGTCTGCTATTCACCAGGGCCCCTGATGGTGGGGATGGACTTGGAGCAGACAGGAACCAGGTCGCGGCCCCTGAGTACACCTGCTAGTGGTAGAGGGATCCGCCAGAGGTATGTGCAGGTAGGAAGCCTGATGTGAAGAGGCAGAAGGTGTGAGCAGGGACAGCTGGATCCGTGCAGGATGGATGGATGGCAGAGTAGTTAGCGTGGTCAGACGGGCCAGGTCAGCAACGTGCGGGCAGCAAGGTACCAAAGGAGCAGGCAGAGAATAGTCAGGGTCACAAGCTGGGTTCAGTAACTCACGGGCAGCGCGGTACAGGGGATCAGGCAGAAGGATGGTCAGGCAAGCCAGGGGTTCAACAGGAGACGGTCAGCAGAGGTCAGGATCAAGCAGTGTCAGCAACGAAGCAGGAACACAGGATACCAGGTACAGAGGCTCATGGGAAAACATACACCAAGGCCCAGATCACAGGCCTGGTCATGCCTTAAATACACCTTCTGCAATCAGCCCCAGGTTTGGCTGATTGCAGGTGTGAGCTCCTGGCTGCTGAGAGCACCCGCTGGTCAGCTCTGGTACTGCAGCCCACACGACAGGTGAGTCCCACCACCAGTGCTGAGTCCATTCCTGACAAGTATGTTCAAAGCCAAGTGATATACCAGAACATGGCAGTGAGCTATGCCAAGGAACAAAGACCAAAAAAAATGTAGAACTACCCCCATAGGAGCCACTGGATAGGATAGGTCCTTTCTTCTTTGCCTTAACCTTTTCCAGAATCTCAGCCCCTCCGCAACACCAGGTTGAGTGTACAAAGCATGTTACACCACAGAAAATCACTGTAATTAATGCTTAGTACCCAGTAGTACTAGATCAAAGAAAAAAGGCACTGAACAAGTTAGCACAGGCAAACGTAATGTATTTCCACTTGATAGGGTTGGTATTGAGGCAAGCAATAAAATGGAATAGCAATGGTAATAACACACTTTAGTATTCAGAGTGATTAGTAATAAGGACTAGGAATAAGGTGACACTTGGTTTCCAGATCAGCATAAACAGTAGCAAGGCCACCTGAAAGTGCAGCAGTGAGTAGTCATAAAGCTTGATTTACCGAACACAGGAACTAGACAAATGCATTGGTGGTGACTATGTTAGGTCCAGGACGACTGGATGTGCACGGTCCATAGAAAGGAAGGAAAGGGGAGAAGGTAACAAAGGGGCTTGTAGGATGGTTTTCCTGGAAGGGCAGTCCTTCATGTTGTTCTTCTGCCGGCTATTGTTGGAGCCCTATAAGAAGTGTTGGTGCGTTTAGCAACAATTTCAGTAAACCAGAATGCAATATAGATGTGGTGAAGATGCAGTAAAAGTGTCCTGCTTCCAGTAGGCCAGTAGAGAGTTAATAAGAATGCTTTGAAATTGACAACATTACTATAACTAGCACCAAAAAAAAGGACAAAGCCCCTCTATTATGGTCTTTTTGGGATTTTCCAAATAAAGAGGTTTCATCCTTTTTTTGCATCCAGTAGCTCAGTCCCTGCTAGCAGTGTGAACAATGGGTAGTGAGCCCTCTCACCAGTCCCTGTGGTGCGGCTGTGAACTCTCGCTCACAGGACTCCTACAGAGATTCACCAGGGGGAATTAGAGGATGCTCCGATCTCCCTCAACAGTGCAGATGCAAAGTGTGATTTCAGTGAAAATTAATTTCTCCACAATGCCTATAGCTACAGTGGTGATTGAGGACTTGTTTTAAAATGCTTTTACTGCTAGCTCAGAATATATAAATACTTTAGTATGCATAGTCTGAGCACATAATTACTGTAACCAAAGGGGCAGGGCAAATAGAGAAGCAGGGTCAGGAAGGAATGCAGGGAACCAGCTAGCAGTTGGCAGAACTGGACAGGGGCATGGGCAAAATACTGAGGCAACATAGATGATGCAGTGTGGTGATGAATAGCCCCCTCAGCTAGGATCAGGGGGTGATTAAAGTGGAACTTCACTCTCTCTACCAACACTGACTATTTATAATACTTATACTGCTAGCATTAGCAAAAATAGAAGGTATATTAGATTTGCTTGGTTAAACCTTTTTTTTTTTTACATTTCGTTGGTTCCTGATTTCTGGTCAAGGCCAAAATGATGTGATACATGCCAGGAGTCTTCATGGGAGGAGGGGCTCTCTCAGCTAAGCCCACTACCCCACCTACATGCCTGAGCTAAGGGCAGATGGATTCCAGGAATCATCTGCCCCTACTCAAGAAGGCCATGGCCAGAAATGCTAGGGAGGTGTTTTTCAAAGTATTTTCTTAGCTAAATAAAGCATGGGGACATGGATGGATGGGGGGGATAGGGGGGATATTATGTGATAACTAGATTAGCATCTCTCTAATTAACTTTTAGCACTGAATTCTATGTACATTCATATGGTATCTGTTACATGGATTCCTTCCCAAATTGTTCACCTGCTCTAGAGGCTAATACTCGATTGGTTATCACCATGAAACCTGACCAATCAGATCTAACTCCCCTTCTTCCTTTGTATTTATTCCATACACTTCCATTCTGTTGGTGAACATGAATACATTTTCTGAAGATGGTTTCTTTTTCTATTTGTTCATTATTTATTACTCTGCTTGTCCTATCAGGGTAGCCAGTATCTCACAACATGGAAGAAGGAGAGGAATCGTGGAAACCTTAGAATGACAACTTCTGGGGGAATACCTCCTGGCAGAGTACCCACAAGACAAGATTTCACAAACTATGCAAGATCATCGAAGGAGGTAGAAAGGCAGAAGAACCCCACCATGGGATTAATAGATAGTAATATATCAGCATCGAGTTTGATCAAAACGATTGACACATTCGACAGACCAGCTGATGCGTATGCTGAAGACACATACGCTCGAGCTGGAACGTACGCCACGGGATTCATAGATAAACCCGGGGAAAGGATCCCAAAGGCCGGAGTTTATGCTGAGGCCGGAGTTGGCAGAGCGGGGGCAGAGTTTAGTATTTTTGAGGCTAAAGCTAAAGGGCCAAATGCCTCTGCTGGAGCTGAAGCCAGTGTAGTGGGGGCTGGCGCCATGGCCAGAGCAGAAGTTGGAAGTGTCTCTGTTGGTGCCGGCCCATTTACAGCTAAGCTTGGCCTAGGTGTGGACACTGGAGCGGCGGTTGGAATTGATGGAATTGAGGTAAAATTCTTAGGTACCCGGGTTCAAAGTAGGGCCAAAATCTGGCATTTCTATATTGGGCAGTGAGGTGGGGTTTCCTCTCCTTCCATAAGGCCTTCTCTTACATATCCTAAATATCTGTAAAAAGCTGAACTCCAGCTTTTTACAGCTATAACTTTATGACCACCCACCTAATATTGCATAGCGCCCCCTTCTGCTGCCAGTTCTGGCCCGTCCAGACATGAACTCCTCTAGATAGAGCATCACACTGCCTCTTCCAGCTTGTCTTCTTCCCACAGTGCATCCTGGTGCCATCTCTTCCCCAGGTAAGCGACGCACACACATCTGGCCATCCACATGATGGAAAAGAGAACATCATTCATCAGACCATGCCACCTTTTTCCATTGCTCGGTGGCCAGCCCACCCCCTCCACCCCCCCCCCCCCCCCCACACACCTCCATCAATGAGCCTGCCCCCCACCTCCATCAATGAGCCTTCCTTCTCCACCTGCATCAATGAGCCCCCCACCCACCTCCATCAATGAGCCTTCCCCCCCCACCTCCATCAATGAGCCTCCCCCCCATCTCCATCATTGATCCTTCCCTCCCCCACCTCCATCATTGAGCCTTCCCTCCCTACCTCCATCAATGGGACTTCTGTCCCCACCTCCATCAATGAGCTTTCCCCCCCCCACTTCCATCAATAAGCCTCCCCCCCTCCTCCATGAATGATCCTTCCTTCCCCACATCCATCAATAAGCCTACCCCCCACCTCCATCAATGAGCCTCCCCCCCACCTCCATCAATGAGCCTTGGCCCCCAATGACTCGGTTACTGGTTGCCTGGTTTTCCTTCCTTGGACCACTTTTGATTGGTCCTGACCAACTGCAGGTTTGGAGTTGCTCTGACCCAGTCATCCAGGCATTACAATTTGGTTCTTGTCAAAGTCCCCTCAAATCCTTACACTTGTCCATTTTTTATGCTTACATTACATCAACTTCAGGGGGAGAACATGTTTCTCTTGCTGCCTAAATATGTCCCCCACCCACTTTCAGGTGTCATTGTAACCAGATAATCAATGTTTTCACTTTAATGGTCCAAATGTTATGGCCGATCGGTGTGTGTATCCTACCGCGCTCAGATCAGTATCCAAAGTGTTGTGTAAAGTGTATGTCAAGCTGAAGCTTTTCGTCTAGTTTTGGATGGTGTGGGAAGGATCAAACCCCCCGGTTGGGTTTTAACTGTTATAGGGTTTCCTCTCACCTCCTGTCCACCTGACAGCAATCTACATAGGAAATGAGGGGAATTCTACAGCAGCAACACTAACAGAAACAAAAGACAAAGCCCCTGTTAGATTTTTGTTTCCGTGGCAGATTATTTCCCCTCGCTTCTTGTCTGGTAAAATATTGTTAGCAGGAAAGGAAAGAAGGAAAAATGTCTCATGGAGCACCGGATATCTGTAAAAACCTGACAGGGGTTCTAATCATTTCCCCTCAACATCCAAAACGAGAACTATTTTCTGAACTCAAGTCCACAAATGCTGTAATCCAGTGATGTGACACTGGGGGAGCTCCCTCACCAGCACCCCCATAGTTGGGGCTCTATAACCGTCTTGATTAGCCAGTCAATTCCCATGTATGAGCAGCTCAGTGTACATTCTGAAGGAGACTACAAGAGAAGAAGAAATACAAAACGTCTCTCATACAGTAAAAAGCTGGTCGGCTCACAATAGCTTTACTTTTTACCTTTAGTTTCGGCTTTAAGTATATGCCTGCTTCTGTCTGCAGGAATTCTCCACATTTAAAATGATGAGAGATAATAGAATACGTTGTAGAATAACCACAGATTGTACTGGAGTTGAATCATCTCTGTATTGCTGTCTTCATTCAATGCTTACTGCTCCTTAAAAAAATACAAAGTTTTTACAATTCACATTATATCACTGATATGTTACAAAGCTATCAATGTAATCAAATACAATATACCCAATAAAATGCATATACAAAGAGAAGATCTGTGCTCAGAATTGTGCTTTGTGTGATGTCGTTCAATGGACTGACCGCTTGTGAGATCAGATTGTAAGAAGTCTGCCCCATTTTTTTTTTTAGTTCCAGTAGCTCTCCTATTGGATCGGACTACACAGACAAAACTTCCCTTTCCACTTCCATCAATGAGCCCCTTCCCTTCCCTCCTTACCTCACCCCATCGACGAGCCTTCCCTCCCCACCTCCGTCGACGAGCCTTTCCCTCCCCCCCACCTCCGTCGACGAGCCTTCCCTCCCCACCTCCATCGACGAGCCTTCCCTTCCTTCCCTCCCCACCCTCCATCGACGAACCTTCCCCCCTCCTCCGTCCGACGACCTTCCCTCCACCCTCGACGAGCCTTCCCCCCTCCCCACCTCCATTGAGGAGCCTTTCCCTCCCCACCTCCGTCGACGAGCCTTCCCTCCCCACCTCCGTCGACGAGCCGTTCCCTCCCCACCTCCATCGACATCGACGAACCTTCCCTCCTTACCTCCATCGACGAACTTTGCCCCTCCCCACCTCCATCGAGGAGCCTTGCCTCCCCACCTCCGTCGATGAGCCTTCCCTCCTTACCTCCGTCGATGAGCCTTCCCTCCTTACCTCCTACGACGAGCCTTCCCTCCTTACCTCCGTCGACGAGCCTTCCCTCCCCGCCTCTATCGACGAGCCTTCCCCTCCCGCCTCCATCATCGAACCTTCCCTCCCCACCTCCATCGACGAGCCTTCCCTGCCCACCTCCATCGACGAGCCTTCCCTCCCCAACTTCATCGATGAGACTTCCCTCCTTACCTCCGTTGACGAGCCTTCCCCTCCTTACCTCCGTTGACGAGCCCTTCCCTCCGTACCTCCATCTAAGAGCCTTCCCTCCCCACCATCCGTCGATGAGCCTTCCCTCTCCACCTCCCCCCAAAAAAGAAATTAGATCTATGCTTGTTCCAGGAAGAAACATGTGAACCCACTGACTGTTGCATGACTCACTGCCCTCTGCTGGAAGCCTTATTCCAAGCATCACCTGCTCTTTTTAGTAAAATAATACTTTCTCTAAGGTCAGTTTTGAACCTTCCTCCTGCCAGTTTAAAGTCACGTCCCCATTTTAATCTTAATCTTAGCTTTATATTGAAATCCTGCTTCTCCTGAACCTTATTCCACCCCCTTCATGTATTTAAAGGTTTTCAATTATATCTCTCCCCTTTCCTCCAGACTACATATGTACATATTAGGTTTTCACTACAGTCTCTCCTGCCAATGACCCCTCTAGTGATATAAGATCTATATAGAGGAATCAGGACCTCCTCCTCCTCCTGCCGGTGACCCCCCTCTAAGTGATATAAGATCTATATAGAGGAATCAGGACCTCCTTCCTACTGCCGGTGACCCTTCTAGTGATCAGGATCTTATATAGAGGAATCAGGACCTCCTTCCTCCTGCCTGGTGACCCTTATAGTGATAGGATCTATATAGAGGAATCAGGACCTCCTTCCTCCTGCTGGTGACCCTCTAGTGATATAAAGATCTATATAGAGGAATCAGGATCTCCTTCCATTCTGCGTGACCCCCTCTAGTGATATAAAGATCTATATAGAGGAATCGGGTCCTCCTTCCTCCTGCCGGTGATCCCCTCTAGTGATAGATCTATATAGAGGAATCATGACCTCCTCTTCCTCCTGCCCTGGTGACCCCTCTATGTGATTATAAAGATCTATATAGAGGAATCAGGATCTCCTTCCTTCTGCCGGTGACCCTCTAATGATATAAAGATCTATATAGAGGAATCTGGGACACCTCCTTACCTCCTGACCGGTGACCCCTCTAGCTGATTGATCTATATAGAGGAATCCTGATCTCCTTCTCCCGCCGGTGACCCCTCTAGTGATATAAAGATTCTATATAGAGGCAGTGGTTCTCATACCTTCCTAATATCGTGACCCTTTAATACAGTTCCTCATGTTGTGGTGACCCCCAACCATAATATTATTTTACCCTTAGTAATTATAATTCATGAGTGTCGTTTTACCTCCAATACTGCTGCATTCTCTACACAGTAGCTGCTTTTAAACGAGTATGCTGCTTTCAACACGCAGTCTGCTTTCTACACAGCAGCTGCTTTTCTGCACAGTAGCTCTGCTCTTTAATAAACACATCGGAAATATGTGTTTTCTGATGGTCTTAGGGGACCCCTGTGAAAGGGTCGTTCGACCCCCAAAGGGTCACGGACACAGGTTGAGGAACCACTTATAGAGGAATCAGGACTCTCCTTCCTCCTGCCGGTGACCCCTCTAGTGATTTAAAGATCTCTATTTAGAGAGGATGTCAGGACCTTCCTTCCTCCTGCAGTTCACCCCTCTAGTGATATAAAGATCTATATAGAGGAATCAGGACCTCCTTCCTCCTGCCGGTGACCACCCTCTTAGTGATATAAAGATTTCTTATATAGAGGAATCAGGACCCTCCTTCCTCCTGCCCGGTGACCCCCTCTAGTTGATATAATGATCTATATAGATGGGAATCAGGACCCTGCTCCTTCCTCCTGCCGGTGACCCCTCTAGTGATAGGATCTATATAGAGGAATCGGGACCTCCTTCCTCCCGCCGGTGACCGCTCTAGTGATATAAAGATCTATACAGAGGAATCGGGACCTCCTTCCCTCCGCCGGTGACCCCTTAGTGATATGATATAAAGATCATATACAGAAGAGGAATCGGGACCTCCTTCCTCCCGCCGGTGACCCCTCTACGTGATAGATTATCTAGAGGATCAGGACCTCCTTCCTCCTTACCCGGTGCCCCTCTAGTGATATAAAGATCTATACAGAGAGGAATCGGGGACTCCTTCCTCCTGCCGGGTGAACCCCTCTAGTGATATAAAGATCTATATAGAGTAATCGGGGACTCCTTCCTCCTGCGGTGACCCCTCTAGTGATATAAAGATCTATATAGAGGCAATCGGGCCCCACCCTTCCTCCAGCCCTGGTGACCCCTCTAGTTATATAAAGATCCTATATCCAGAGGATTTCCCACCTCCTTCCTCCTCCCAACCCCCAGTAATATAAAACTATAATAGAGGAATCGGGACCTCCCTTCCTCCTCC